TCCAAATTGCTCTACAAAACGGTTGGATCATTTCACAACTCCACCAACAGTGCATTAGTGTCCATTTTCCCACATCTTCTCCAACATTTATCATTTTCCTGTTTTGTCATGTTGGCCAATCGGATAGGCGTGATGTGGTACCTCAGAGTTGTTTTGATTTGCATTTCTCTAATCAATAACGATTTAGAGCATTTTTTCATATGACTATAGATGGCTTTAATTTCTTCATCTGAGAACTGTCTGTTCATATCCTTTGACCATTTATCAATTGGGGAATGGCTTGTAGTCTTATAAATTTGTCTTAATTCTCTATATCTTTTAGAAATGAGTCCCTTATCAGAGAGACTGGTTGTAAAAATTCTTTCCCAGTTTACTACTTTCCTTCTAATCTTGGTTGCATTGGCTTTGTCTCTGCAAAAACTTTTCAATTTAATGTAATCAAAATTATCTGTTTTGCATTTCGTAATGTTCTCTGTCTCCTATTTGGCCATAAATTCTTCTGTTCTCCATAAATCTGACAGGTAAACTATTCCTTGCTCTTCCAGTTTGCTTATAGTATCAGCCTTTATATCTAAATCAGTCACATGCACGTTTTGCGGAAATTTCAGTCTACTATTTCTTTAGTGTTCTCCTGATTTATCAAGCTAGTAACCCTTTCAAAATAAAGATGTGGTTACTGTGGTGTAACTTGTTAAGAACCCATTCAGGCTCAGAATGACCGTTGCTTCCCTTTCTAAGTGGTCACAGATCATCCTTTCAATAAAATATGCTAGAGATATAATGACCATAACAATATAGGAAAAACAAAAGAATGCTAAAACGAAGCCCAAAGTAGAGTGATTGTCATGACCAACGGTGGTCTTGGAGAAGACAGCATCAAACATCTCCTTCCCCTTTCTATAGAGAAATGTGTCTGCCCCTGGAGAGGCATGGAGGCGAGAAGCTGTGGGCACAAAATATCACATCTGCTATGAAACTGTCGCTGTGGTTGGTTTTGTTTAAGTTTTCTCTTTCTAAAGGAGCACTTGTCATGGAGGGTTGAGAGGGATATTTAGAAATCTCTGATATAGAAATAATAGACATCAGTTTAAAATGTATTTAGTAAAAAAGTTTAAAAAATGAATTTATGATTTTGCCATGGATTAAAGAATGACTTGCTTATGAGACTTGTGTCTTATCCTGGGAAATAGTGGTCTGTCTTTGGAACAAATGGGAAGCAAGGATCATTGTGGTGCTCACTTCTTGAAAAAAACAGGGTCATTTATTCCTTTAAAGTCTTCAAATTTGTGGACGTTGTAATCAAATTATTGAGGAAGAGTCGTGATTTTCAGGTTATTGTATGTTCTTTTCCTTTTAGGCAGGTTGTAATCCCTCCGATATTGGCGTCATTGCTCCATACAGACAGCAGCTAAAAACCATCACTGCTTTGCTGACTCATTCCTCCGTCAGTAGAGTAGAAGTTAATACTGTGGACAAATATCAAGGAAGGGATAAAAGCATCATTCTAGTATCTTTTGTTAGAAGTAATAAAGATGGAACTGTGAGTGAATTTTTTTTTTAAGTTTTTAGGCAATTGGGGTTAAGTGACTTGCCCAGGGTCACACAGCTAGTAAGTGCCAAGTGTTTGGTCTGAGGTCAGATTTGAACTCAGGTCCTCCTGACTTCAGGGCTGGTGCTCTATCCGCTGCACCACCTAGCTGCCCCTTGTGAGTGAATTTTGTTTGTTCTGATATGTACATGAGAGGCATTTTCTTAAATTGTTAACATTATTTTACAACTAGTAAATTAGTTGGGTCCATTATTCCTTGATTTAATTTTTTATTTTATTTGGCACTGCCCATATTTGAAAATTATACCCAGAGCATCATTTCTCCTATGTAATTGTCATATTTGCAGTATGGGCCAATTGTGTCTCTTTCTGAAATTCATACTGTGTTCATTGTTCTTCAGACTCTAAATTTAACTGAATTCTGAAAACCTAAGACAAAATTTGTAATCGTCTTTGTTGTTATAGCTTGGTGAGCTTTTAAAGGATTGGAGGCGCCTTAATGTTGCCATCACAAGAGCCAAACACAAGCTGGTGTTGCTGGGCTGTGTGCCGTCGCTGAGCCGCTATCCTCCTGTGGAGAAGCTGCTCCGTTATCTAAAGTCAGAGAACAAGATATCCTTTTTTTGCGTCTGGTTGCTCACGAGAGAGCCTTCACTTTAAATGATATGATTTTCTTGACATGGGCATGATGTAATATTTCAGTTTATAAATTCCCCACCTTGCCACAACCTGTTTTACCAGTGAAGAAAACAAAGCTAATGGGTTCAAGTGACTTGCTCCGGATGACACAGTAATACATCTTTTCACTTCCAGTCCTCCTGATTCCAAGGGTGACTAGCCATTATGTCCTGGTGCTTCTCATGACAGCTCCTGTTTGTCCTGTGCTCAAAGATTTAAGAAGATGCCTTCCTCGTAGAGACTCCATGATGTACTTAGGAAAAGTGGTTTTCCCACTTAGCAGGTGAGGGCACTGAGGTTCAGGGAGACGGAAGGGGCTGATTTGTCCATGGTCCCCCAGACAGTATGAGAGCCCAGACCCAACAGCCCCACTCCCTCCCAGGCCAGGTTGCTTTTCACTGCCCTGCACTGCTTCCTGAGCATCAGGCTTCTCATTTATGAGCTTATCAGATCCTAACGACTACTGTGAGAATATGGTGCAAGGATTATTGTCTTTGTTATATTGGTGAGAAACTTAAGGCTTGGGGGTTGTCATTTACCCAGGGTTGCTGAGCCACAAAGCAAGGCGTCACCTCTCTGAGCTCCTGGGCATTGCACCTATCCTGTTCTGTGGTTAGTGGATTGAGAGAAGTGGATAAATAAAAGAAAGGGGAAGAACGAATACTAAAGGTGGAGGGCAGGAATGATTAATAATAATAGCTAACCTGGAGTACTTACTATGTGCCAGAGCCTGTGCTAAGCACTTTACAAACATGACCTCATTTGATCCTCACAGCAGCCCTGGGAGGTAGGTGCTGTTAACCCCACTTTACAGATGAAGAGATTGAGGCAAACAGAAACTTAAGTGACTCTCAGTTTCTTACAGCTAGTAAATGTCTGGGACTGGGTTTGAACTCGGGACTTTCTGACTGCAGGCCCAATGCATGGCACCACCTAGCTGCCCCTAAGTCATGGTTGATAAGGTGAGAGATGGGGAGAAAGGGATATAATTTCTTACCTAGCCAGGTTGTTCCTCCCCTCCTTTCCTATTCATGCTACAAACCACAGCCTTGTTCACTCTGGGGCCTGGCATTCTGTCAACCAGAGGATGATGCAGGCTAAGTGATGGTTTTTATGGCAGGAGATGACCTTTTTAAAAGAAGAATAAAGCTCTTTGGCAAAGCCATACCTTTTTATAACATAGGTCATAAAAATCCTTACAGTTGTTTTAGCAGTATTATAAATGGACTTGTACCATAAAAAGTTAAAGTATAACGTCCTTATGTGTCCAGTCACACGCTGTCTTTGGGGACATATTGTATGGATTGTATTTTCCTTAACAGCTTTACGTTTTTGATCTTCCTTTGGGAGCACATGAAAGTATTTGTCAATATAATGCGCAGTGACTTCGAAGGTGAAAACACCATTTCATCTGCTTTTTCAAGACTTGAGTACCTCTTTTACACTCTGCATTCTAATATTTAAATAGCCAGGTGCCTATGGTTAATAATTTTATGTGGATTTTCTAAATTGGATGAAATGTTAGCCTTTCTACATCTCCCTAAGAATCCAAACTAAATAATACGCTAAATGAGATTTGGCTCAAATGATATTAAATGCCTCTCCAGGATCTTCTTTCTAATTTTGTTCTCAACTTATAAAAGATTTAACTTGGTACAGAATTCTTGTTGTGAGCCCTAGAACTATGAAGTATGAAGACTTTGTAGTTTAAGTGAATTTTTTAAAAATATGGCATTAGAAAAGGAGGCTTGATTACCACCACCCCTTTGCTTTGAAAATAGAGGCACTTCTGGAAAGTTAAGAATTTTAGGACCTGCATTAGCCTTGTGGATTTAATGCCTGGTTATCTATGAGAAAAAAATTGGATTTTTAAAAAGACCATCTAAGGAATTAGGTTTATTCATAATTGATATTCCTGTGGCAGTAAGACCATGTTTTTGGTTCTTTTCATAAGTCTCTAATACTAATCCTTTTGATAAAGGACAGCAGTCTTTCCAGGGTGCTAATTTAATTTAATTTTAATTTACTTTATATATTTTTTGGGGGGGGGTTGGTATCACAGTGCCAATCCCAGACATTTTGCTCTTGTTTTAAGTTTGAACATGTTAAGACACATTCCTGAATTTAAAGTTGTTTTAATGAATTTTAACAGGGAACAGAATATCAGATTTACCCTTAGTTTTAAAGTTAAACTTATTGTTTGGACAAGTAGAAAAGGTGTCTACATGTTTTATTCTGTTCATGTTTACATATTTCTAGCCTTATTTAGGTAAATGTGGTACCGTGCCCTTTGTGTAAAAATGTGGTGAAAATCCGAGCTGTTTCGTGTTTTGTTATTTGTTTGATCCATGTGGTTTACCTTACATTTGAACGTCTTTCAGTGCACGTTTACTTGTACGGCATTTTTAACAGGTGCCTCTACCTCAGGTTTTGTCAGAATGTGCCAAATAAATTCTAGTTTTCCACCTCTGGCCTTAGTGCTGCCTTTCCCATTCCAGAAGAAGGGAGGGGAGGGGGGAGGGAGGAGGGGAAGGAGAGAGGCCGTCGCTCGCTCCCGGGGCCGGGCTGCCCGCCCTCTTCTCCGCCCACGAGCCTATCCCAGGCTGGCCCTTAGCCGCCGGCCTCCCTCCAGGCAGGGGCTGGGGCTGCAATACCCTCCCCCCTCCCCGCAGGTCTGACGTAGCACTGAGCTGGGCGGGAGGCGGGGGACCCAGGGAGCGGGGGGAGGGGCCAAGCCGGGAGCTTGAGACGCCAATCACGCCCCAGGCTCAATCGGAGCTCAACCTGCGCTCCCTCGCCCCGCCTCTTTAGCCCCTCTGGGCGTGGCTCCGCCCGCATCGTGTCTGGGTTCTGTTGCCCAGTCTCCTCGTCTAGACTCAGTCTGTTTTTTTCCGTCTGCGTCTTCGTTTGCCCTGCCCCCTTGCGTCGTGCTGGGCACGGCGGGATGCGTCTCCTCACCCCCACCCCCGGCGTCGCTCCGCCTCCCTGGCGCTTGGCACCTCCCCCGGCGCTCTCACTCCTGTCACCTCCAGTGTCAGCCGGCCGCCGCCTCGCACTTCCCCCACGCCGCGTCTGCCTCCTAGCTCCGTGGCCCGGCCCGGGCTCGCTGCGCTCCTCCGGCCGCACGGGGGCGCTGTGGCCCGCGCGCGTCACGCCCGCCCGGGGACGCTGTGGCGGCGGCGGCCGTGGTTGTGGGCCTGGAAGCGAGACCAGCGGTTCCCAGAGCCCGAAGCAGAGCTGCCGCCGCCGCCGCCGCCGCTGCCGCCATGGGTAAGGAGGGGCCGGGGCCTTGGGGTACGACAGAAAAGGGGAAGCCGAGCCCCCAGGCCAGGTCGTCATGGCAACGCAGGGGCCGCCACCACACCCCCCCCACCCACACACAAACCCCAGCCGCCCCGGGGGGGGAGAGGGGGAGCGGGGCCTGGGTCAGCCAGGGCCGCGGGGCCGGGCGGGGTGAGATGACAGCTCCGTAGGGTCCTGGTTCTGGAACTGCAAGAGACTTTGATGACCCGCCCACTCCTTGGACAGAAGAGGAAACTGAGGCCCGGAGAGGGCCCGGGAGCCCTGGCTGGACCCTCCCCAGGCCGGGGGCGGCAGGGGGGGCCCCGGGCCGGGGCACGGACGGTCCCGCCCAGCTTCCAGAGGTCCGGCAGGCTCGCCAGCCCGAAGCGCCCACCGTGTGCCGGGCACTGGGCTGAGGGCTGGGCCGTGTAGACAAAGGGACTGCCCCGGACCCCTGGGGGCTGTCACGGGGCGGAGGAGGCAGCAAGTGCACGGTGCATGCCCGCACATACGTGTCATGGCATGTCCATGTGCATGCCTGCGTGTGTGTAAGCATGATGCTTCAAACGCGGGGGGGGGGTGCCGAGGAAAACCTACCCAGGGCGGTAGGTAGAGTCGGGTCTTCGAGGAAAGATTGGTTCGATTCTTGGCTGCCCTTGTGTGGCCCGTAGTGAAGTTATTTAACTTCTGGTGGGCGTCTGTTACCTATCTCTAAAGTGAGGGATTAGACCGGATGTTCTCTGGGGTCCCTCCATTAAGCACCTACTGTGTGTGCCAGAAACTGTACTGTGCACTTGAGAAAACAGACAAAAGCCAGTTCCCAGCTCTTTTGTGGGAGTTTGGAGAGATTGACAATGAATATTAATATATACATACGTGCACACACACATACAATATATCCGGGATAATTTAAGGAGAAGGCACTAGAAGCTGGGGAAAGAAATGCTTCATGCAGAAGGAACAGTAATAAGAAGGCTAGTATGGCTGGGCTATAGTATAAAAGAAAGGAAGTGGCATACAATATTGAAAAGGTAGATTGGTATCAGATTGAGTAAGGTATAAATGCATAGCAGAGGAATTTATACTTGATCTTAGAGGTAATAGCAAACTGGAATTTATTGGGGGTTGGGGGGGTGACATGATCAGGGTTACCTTTAGGAAAATCCCCATAGGAGCTGTGCAGAGGTTGGATTGGAGGAAGGAGAGAACTAGAATAAAGAGTCTGCCCAGGATGTGAAAACAGTCCAGATGAGTAGCAGCAAGGCCCTAAGTGAGGTGACGGCTATGTGAGTGAAGCAGAGGGGATAAATTGGAAAGATGTAGTAGAAACAACAGTATTTAGCAACTGAGTGGCTATGTGGGGTGAGTCAGAGCAAGGAGTTGCCTAGGATGACATTGAAGCTGAAAACTTCTGTGACTGGAAGGAAGGTGGTACCCCCAACAGAAAGAGAGAATGTCAGAAGCAGGGAAGGTTTGTGGGAGGAAGGTAGTAAGTTCTTTGGATGTGTTGTGTTTAAGATGTCTGATAGGTACCTAGGCCCTCTCACAGAACTCTTCAGCTCTTTCCGTAACGTCACAAAAGTGCAACCTGTCCAGTGGCAGATCTGAGGTCAAAAACTCATAGTGGAATGCCAGCGTGTCAGCCAGGAAGTACTTTGCAGAGATCATCTGTTAGAACAAGCCCTTCGTTTGAGAGAGGAACAGCACCTTGGAGTATATGCATTCTCTGATCCTGTCTTGGATAGGATCATAGCTCCAGCTGTGATTTGAAATGCTTCTCCATTTCCTCATCTTAGAATCAAGAGGTATATGAGGTCTCTGCCAACTTTAAATCCCAGAATACAAAAAAAAAAAGAAAAGAAATCTTTCACTGTTGGTTAAGTGATTGAACAAAAACTACTCCTTTGTCCTGGTTGCCTTACCCCATGTTAGTGGTGTGATGGACACTAAAGTAGTCACGTTCTGGGTTTTGCAACCTATAATTATCTTAAATGCCTAGTCATTTACTGCAAAAACATTTCCAAGATTGTAGCCATTAATCATTGATCTGGGGATTCCTTTTTCTGGTGCTGGTCTTAATCTACCCATACCATCTTCTGTGGTTCTTGCCTTTGTCCTCCAATAAATTCTCCATACAGGATCCAACCAGCTTACGCCAGAGGTGTTTTAAAAACATTCTTTGGGTACCATTGGAGCATGTAGACAGTCTATTTGTTATCATGCCCAACCCACTTCCTTTTCTCAAACATACATTTTTTGGATGCTATCTTTTATTACCACTTCCTCTGTGCAAATCATTGTTGGGAATATGCTACAGTGTACTTTTGTTCTCCAGGAAATTTTGAGAAATTGCATGAGTTATTATTATAAGCAATTTAAAAATGTTATGGGTAAATATCTTTTTTTTTCCTTTTACCAGTTTGATAGCCAATCTCATTTCTAGCTATCAGTGCCCAAAGTTAGTGCAGGTTTGGAAGCGTTCTTCTAAGCAAGAAAGATAACATAAATGACTGTACTGAATAGTGGGTGTTTTTGAACCCTGGACTCTGTTTATTGGAATGCTAGGCTGAAAACTGGGCAACCCAAGAATTCCTACCAATTCTACAAATTAAATTACTTTTGACAAAATCATTCACTTTTCTTTCTGTTTTTTTTTTCTGTTTACTTTGCAATATATATTGCCAGTCTTTATGTAATAGTTGTGAAAATTGACACAAAGTCTAGGCAAGGACTTGCAAGTTTTTAAGAAGAAGATCTTAAATATTGTTGAAAGTTAAATATAGTTGAAAAGAAATCAGTCAACCAGTGTCAGGTGTCTGGGATGTGTCATACACCATGCTGAGCAGAAGGATACAAGACAAAAATCCGGCCCTCAAGTCTCTTACAGTGAAGCACGTTGAAGACAATGTGAATATCTGCGGATATATACGCACTAAATACATTGTGATTTGGGGGGGAAAGCACTAGCACCTGTGGGGAACAGGAAAGGCTTCATCTAGTAGGTGGCCTGAGCCAAACCTGGAAGGAAAGGAGTCACAGGGCACAGTTATTGCAAAGGTATGGCAACAGTTAATCATTTATGAAGAACAGTCCTTTATTTCCTCTCGGCTTCAGTTAAAGCAAAGACCTGGGTTCAGGAATTTCAGGAAATTGGTACTTGGGAATCTGATACAGACAAGAGCTTCCTATGCCGCAAAGCAAGCAAGCAAACAAAAGCATATCTACACATAACACTGTATGGCAACATTAACAGACGGAAGTTTGTCCCCATTGGGGAAGGCCTGTGTATTAGGGAGGAAATACACTCAAAGTCAGAGTTTAGGAGGTGAATTTATCTGCCCTAAGAATGAGCTTGGTTGAGAACAGGTCATCCATGTCAGATTTAGGAGGGAGCACTCCTTATCAGACCCAGATGCAGTAGGAAACTTCTAGGGGGCACTTCTTGATCGATACCAGTCTTACTCAAGCCTGGTATTTAAAATTTTAAGTTAGCTTTCTAAGGCAGCAGAAGCCCCCTGCAAGCAGATCAAGAGTTTCATCCAATCAAAAGCTGGTGGTGTTATCCACCTAGCACTTAACATGGGTCAGAACAGTGGAAAAGTACAAACTGTCTTTGCCTGTATGCTTTTATGGACATTAGGACCACTTAGCCTGCATGGCTCCCTATTGGAGTCCTATCAACGTGACTATAACTTCAGAAATAAAAGTTTTATAGTGATCACAAACAGCAGGCAATTTGACTGGATCTTTGAAAGGGAGTAACGCGTAAGAAGAATGGAAAGCTAGGTCGAGGACAGGCTATGAAAAGGCTTTAAATGCTAACACGGAAGTGTTTATAGTTGATCATAGGGGTAATAAGGAACCGCTGGCGTTATCTGAATAGAAGGGTGACGTGGTTCAGCCTGTGCTTTAGGAAAATCATTTTGGCAGCAGTGTGGAAAATGGTTTGATGTGGGGAGAGAGTTGGGGCAAAGAGACCAATCACTAAGCTATTATAACAGTTCAGGCAAGGTGCAGTGAGGGTCTGAACCACTGTGGATAGAAATAACAAGATTTGGCAACTGAGTGTTTATCTAGAGTGAGTTAGAAGATAGTGGTATTTTCAGTAGTAATAGGGAATTTCAGAAGAGGGACAGATTGAGAGAGAAAGGAGAATTCACTTTCAAATATATTGAGTTTGGGACACCTACAGGACATCTAATTTGAAATACCCTGTATTCAGTGAGAAAGTTTAGAAGAAGAAATGAAAGGGACTCAGGACAGCCTTAATTTATGGCCACAGTTAGGGGGCACGATACAAATGATCATTTAGCAAAGGAGACTGAAAAGAGTGCTCTTAGGTAGGAAAAGCAAGAGAGCATTGTCATGAAAACCCAGAGGAGAGGATCTAGGAGAGACTGGTGAACAGCGTCAGATGCTGCAGAGAGATGGAGAAGGACGAGGACTGAGAAAAGACTAGGGTTATAGGTAACTGGAGAGAGAGCAGTTTCAGTTGATGCTGATATCGGAATCCAAATTGGGAAGGAGCGAGAAGAGAGATAGTGGAGGTATTTTGTGCAGGCAGCTTTCTCCAGAAGTTTGGCTAAGAAAGGGACGAGTGAAAGACAAGAATGAAAAATATTATAAATTAAATTTTATTTAAATCTACTTTTCCTCTTAAAAATTAAACATGGCATGAACTATATAGACTGAATAGAAGCTATAAGATGAAAAACCATCTTTTTATAAACCTTTTGTAGGCTGCAAAAATAAAGTATCATAAAATGCAGTGCTTATGTACATAGTTTTTTTTGGGGGGAGGCAGTTGGGGTTAAGTGACACAGCTAGGAAGTGTCAAGTGTTTAGGCTGAGGCCGGATTTGATCTCAGGTCCTCCTGACTTCCGGGCTGGTGCTCTATCTACTGCGCCACCTAGCTGCCCCTTATGTACATACTTTCAGGTAATTGTACTCTCCCTCCCTCCGCTCCACCCCACCTTAAGGAAAAGGAGGCAGCTAGATGGTTCAGTGGATGGAGCCCTGGGCTTGAAGTCAGGAAGATCTGAGTTCAGATTGGACCTCAGACACTTACTGGCTGTGTGACCCTAGACAAGTCACTTAACCTCTGTTTGCCAAATGTACCCATGAACATCGGTGTGCTTTGGTCCACAGATTCATGAAGAATAGGACACAACTGAACAAATGAGCAACAAATTAAGGAAAAAGGCTGTTTGGACTGCATATTTAATAGATTCAGTAGCATTAAGAGATGCTGTGGTAAATGAGTTATTGGAAATCATGAAGGAAGGAGAAGTTAAAATTATGGGCTTTCATAGCTGCTAAAATGTTGCACAATGTAATGAAAGTATTGGCTTGAATTCTGGTCCTTTTATTAACCATCATTAATGACTTGGGGCAAGTCATTTCAATTCTCTGGACCTTAGTTTCCTCCCCTGTAAAATCAGGTGGGCCGATTAGATGATTTTAAAAACCCTTCGTAGCTCAGACTCACATGGTTTTTTAAAACTGGCTCCTTAATTTGTCTGTACGTTCTAATTTTGTCACAGGTACAGATGATCAGCTTTTGTCCTTAGAATCCTGCTCTCTTAAGTTGCTTGAAGAGTAGTGAGTATTTACATAAAGGACTTGAATATATCTGGGAGTCGGGGTTCTGAGTCTAGAGCTATCAGCAATTAAGCCTATAACTTATAACCTTAGAGAATTTTTAAAAAATTTTTATTTTTTCAATTAACAAATGTTTCTTTTCTCTCCCTCCTATTCTTCCCCTTTCCCTGTTGGAAAAAAAAAATAAGGAAAACATAACCCTTGAAACAAATATGCAGAGTCGAGCAAAACATTTCCACACTGACTATATCCAAAAATAATGCCTTGGTCTGCACTTCTCTGGTTCATTCTCTGTCCTCTAGAATTGCATTTGATCAGTCACTGCATGGATTGATCAGAGTTCTGGAGTCTTTTAAAGTTATTTATATCAGACAGTGGCCTGGAGCCCTGAGAGGTTCAGAATCTCCCAGCTGTTGTGTATCAGCTAGAACCTGAACCCTAGACCCCAGTCTTCCTGCCTGGAAGACCTACCTCTGCTACCTCTCTAGTATTTCTTATAACTACCAATTCAAAAATTATTCTTTTACTTCATTCTCTCCTAAAGGTAGTAACTAAAGAATAAAACTTGTTTTTTTTCCCCCATGCAATTTGCCACTCTAGAGCACCTTGTATAATGGCTAGAGAACTGGCCTCCGAGCCAGGAAGGGCAGGGTTAGAGACCACTGTTGATACAGGTGGGCCATGTGACTTGGAGCAAGGCGCCCAGCCATGCAGGGCCCGAGGCAGCTCCCCAAGTCTTTAAACTGACACGAAGGGACCAGCTTCCATTGGAGGAAGACGTGGCCACTCTGAAGCTCCCTAAACAGTGAAGGCCCAGGTCCTGTCGCTGTGGCTAGCCCCTCCCTCGTCCAGTGGATCAGTCAGTGTGCTTCTTCCCTCTGCCAGTACAGATCTCAGTCTGTTGTGCTTGCCCATGTCCAGCGGTGCTACTTTCATTTCCCTTTGTTAGTCATAACAGATGAAATCAACATTTTTACTCACAGTTGGTGAATGGACATAGGTGTATTTTCATAGCCTCGTATACATATAAGCTGGCTGTGATGAGAGTAGTACCGGCTGGGTCTAAGTTGGGAGTGGCCATTTTGACCTTTTTTCCAGATGTTCCTGAGTCAGTCTGAGTGAAATGTGATGGGTATTCCCCACAGGTAACCCTCTGCAGATAAAATCAAGGTTTCCCACTGAAGACAATGAAATTTTTTTCAGTGTGATATTTTGTTATTATTCATTAAAATGCATTCTTGGTTTCCCTTTTGTTTTTAGCTGTAAAGGACCCCACAGCTGTGGAGAGAGCCAACTTGCTGAACATGGCTAAACTGAGTATCAAAGGGCTGATAGAGTCGGCTCTGAGCTTTGGCCGCACCTTGGACTCCGACTACCCTCCTTTGCAGCAGTTCTTTGTAGTCATGGAGCATTGCCTGAAGCACGGACTGAAAGGTGAACAGACACGTCTTACTAACCTGGGTTTTCCCCAGACAGCAGTGTGAATTTTATTCACAAAAAAAGTAATTTTGTGAATTATTTATATAAGTCTCAGAAAAGGTTCAAAATTAAATCATCCTCAGTTATACATTTGATGTCTTGACTTAGTTGGAAATAATGTGGGAAAAGAAATTAAAATCCAGCAGAACTATCAGCTCATTGACTGTTGCTTTTTGTTATCATTTGTCATCTCTTCAAGTTGATAACACTCCACCCATTCTTATTTGGAATGTTTATTCTTCATTTTATTTATTCCTCTTAATTTCTTCCAAACCCCTGAGTAATTAATTTGGATTGTTGGCAGAAATATTAAAAAGATGTGCTTTCAAAAGGTATATTTTTCTGACCTCCCCACCAGTAATTAGTCAGAGAAAATTACCTCTTACGCAAAGAATTCATACCTGGCAGTCTTATAAGGACTTTTTTGGAATTGTGATTTTTATTTTCTTTTTAAACTAGAGTTTTGCTGAAATCATAGTAGTAATTAATATTATTCTTTGAGACCAAAATAAATTTCTTTTGTTTAATTACAGAATAGTGAATTTTCAATTAGGCCTGGCTTTAGGAACTCATTATGACTTTAAAAGTATCTTATTAACTTGTTAGGAAAGAAGACTTTTTGGTTATAATCTGTAGAGTGGGCATCATAGGATAAATACCAGATGTGGAGTCAGAGACTTGATTTTGAACCTTGGCTCTGCTGCTTACTACCTGTGTAGTCTTGGGCCTCAGTTTCCTCTGCTGTAAAAAGAGGCTTGGACTAGATCATTTCTAAGATTTTTTCTAGTTCTAAGTGTATAATCTTATAGACTTTAAGGCTAGAACAAAATCTTTATTTTCTATAAAATGCAAGTTTTGTTTGTCACTGTCATTATTGTTGAAATTTTTTGGTTATGTTTCAGAAAAATATATAATAGAGATGCCTTTTGTTTAAAGCAGCTTGTTGGTATACTGGAAAAAGTACCTACATGGAGTCAGGAAGACTTGAGTTTAAATCCAGCCAAAGACAAATGCTAATTGTGTGACTCTGGGCAAGTTATTTAACCCCTGGCCGTCTCAGTTTCCTCAGTTGTAAAATGGTGATAATATTCACATTTATTCCATAGTATTCTTGTGAAGATCAAATTAGTATTATGTGAAGCACTTTGCAGACCTTAATTAAAGCGTTATGTAAATGTTAGCCATTATTATTCTGTAGTCATTTCCTTATGTGTGTGTCCACTGCTCCCATTGAACTCTACCTCGTAACAAATTAAAACAGCCAACATGACTGTCTGATAGCACATGGAATATTCTGCCCATGGTTGGGAAACCTGTGGCCTTGAGGCTGCAGGCTCCACACGGTGCTCTACCCCACAGTCTCCTACCTCGCTAGTGAGAGGTGTTGAGTAATAGCTGAGATGCTGAAGGCACTTAAAGGTTTACAAAGTGTTTTACATACATTTTCTCATTTGATCTCATTCTTTATTGATTTTGTCATCATGCTAATAGATGACAGCTTTACAACCATGCTTTCCTGACTTGCACTTGCTATTTTAATGTTTAAAAAACTCTTGTAACTCATATAAATATAGTATAAATTCATGTTGTCATCGTGGGCCATATTGAGCAAGTACCTAAGTATGCTCTTTGTCAGGATGGAGATGACCTGATGTTATTAGCAGATGTGGAGAACTCCTTTCTGGACTGTTGCCAACATGATAGATAGCCTTGTGATCATAATTAGAATAGTTACACATCTCATGATGTCAAGATACCTCAGCTGGGTTTTATTACAAAGTTGCCGTATAGATTTCATTGTCTATTAATACAACTTGGCATTCAGCAATCCCTTGTTTTGTTGGTATGGGCTGTTCTTCTACCAAGTCACCATTGTAGCCATCTGTGTCTTGGTAGGACTTCTTTCAGACTTCCTGTTGCTAAAAAGTTCATCCATCTCTGGCCCTTCAAGAGCTTAGCCTCCGCTAACTGAGTTCCTCTGGCATTCAACAGACAGAGATATTCAGACCATTGTCAGGCCAGTATGAAAAATCTTTATAGCTTGGCTGGCCCTGTCAGGGTTTGTACTCAGCTGGCACTGCCTTTGAGTGTTGAGAGTCACTCTCCATCTCCCAGTGAGTCATTGGAGGAAAATGACTTGTTACAAAGAATTCTTATTTATACTTCATATGATATTCTGTTTAACCAGTATTTGCCGGCAGTCTTGGATTCATATGTATTTTCCCTAGTTTATGTAATCATAAACTAAGGCGGAGTATGTGTAGATAAATATAGGGTCTGGAGAAAATATTTAAATAGAAGAAGAGCACTGTTATTATTGGTTTATATTGAAAGCATGAGAATAACATGAAGGTAGAGAAATTTTGACTATTGAGTATGAAAGTAAGGAAAACAAGCATAAAGGCCCCGAAGGATTTGTTAAGGTAATTAAATAACAAAAAACCCCCAAAATCCCAGGAGGGGCTTTTCGTGGCAAAGTTTGGCCGTCACAACATAGGTTCATAAAGTCATTAATTTTTTAAAATATATTTTTATTTGTACAACATTAGAAAATCACTCATTTAATTTGCTTTTAAAAACACATTTTCAGTGATTTTTTTTCTTAATAATGATATAATGTATATGTTCCCTAGGCCTAGTAAAATGCATGGACTTTGCCAGATGATTTCCAGAATACTCGAATTTTGAACTCTCAGTTTTTTTTGGGGGGGGCGGTGTGTAAATTTCAATTTTTCCAACAAAACATTCTAGCCTTAGATAGTAGCCAACACATACCAGGTGTCAATTAGACCTTCAGCTTGATGAAACAACAAAGTTTCCGCCACATATAGTGCTTTGTACTGATTAGTTTTATCAGTATGGACTGTTTCTAAAGGCCTTGGTGATTGTTTGTAGGGGTCTGTGCTAGGCAAATTCTCTCACCATGAGGCCAACTTACTACAAAGAAGGGATTTCACAGAGAGTTCATTTTTCTAAGTGGGAGAAAGTAAATATAATACTAACACCACTAGCTCTTCACACGTGAAAGTTAGCTGGTTTTGTTTGTCACTTAATTTATAAAGATTACAGAGTTCAACCTGCTTCATCTAGTAGCTCTTTCTTGTTGGGGCCAAGATCAAAGGAGAAGGAGGAATCCCTTGCTATTTTCTTAATTGTCTGAAAAAGGTCCATATGTCTTGGGAAAATGGAGAAATTATATTATTTACACAAATGTATCTGATTTTAGAAATTTGGCTTATGTATGATATGGCGTGTATTAATTAGGATTGTAGCAATCAATAAAATTTTATTAAGAGCCTACTATCTTCTAGGTCCTGTGTTATGTACTGGGGAAACTGATGAGAATGAGGCAGACTTTTCCTTTAAAGAGCTTACAAATAGGCCCTTAGTATTCTTATAACTAATTTCCTTTGTAGTTCACTTAAGCATTTCTACCTCAGATATTCCTAAAACCATGTCACTCTATGAAAGGAAAGCACTATAGTTTGTTTTTCTAAAAGAAGTATTAATTGAAAGACTATATTTTCTCTTTTTTAGTAAGAAAATCTTTTCTGAGTTACAACAAAACGATCTGGGGGCCCTTGGAGCTGGTGGAGAAGCTGTACCCAGAAGCAGAGGAGATAGCAGCTAGTGTCAGAGATTTACCTGGCCTTAAGTAAGTCTTTTTTTTTTTTTTCCAAGACCCAAATAAATGGTCAGGAGTAAGACACTCAAGAAGAAAATGTGTGGGTAACCTTTAACCTTTGAGGGAAAATACTATTTTCTAATTAACATCAGGTGGGATTCTAGAATTGATTTGGTGGGTTAGGAAGTAATACATTGGATGGCTGGAGCGTTGGTCGGGGAGAGGAGAGTATTCAAATTTTATGGCTTCTCCAGCAAATGGAGTTTTCCCCTAAATACAACCATGCCCTATTAATGTGTGGTTTTCTTTTAGAGAAAGATGTAAGGATACATATTCTAGTAGATGGAAAATAAAGACTCGAGTAATAGCTGGGAGGATTAAATGAGAAGGTACGAGAAAAGATACAGGTAAAGAAATATGACTATTACAGAATATAGTAGTCTATGGTAACAGGTGGTAAAAATGTTTGTTGGTTTGTCTTAGATTGATTAATGATTATTTGTGATCAAGGATGTTTTGTAGGCATAAATTATTAGACTGTACCGCAGTCAGAAACACAAAAGGGAAATAGTTGAGTGGTGGTTAATTTAAAAGCTTATTTTCAGAAATAACCAAACTCATTTTTTACCAGTTTCTCAGTGATCATGTTAGTTGTGATTCTTTAATGGGTGAAACAAAGGGCTTGAAGCTCCGATGACTTGAGTTCTAATCGCAGACAAATTCTTAATGCCATATAATGACTTGTCTAAGTACGGTTTTTTCCGGGATTTATCATAACTGGGACCCATCTCCCTCACAAGAAAGGCAAATGAGCCATATCTATAAAAACGAGATGCTGAATAATAGGAAATGAAATCACTTTGCAGATATAAAGTGCTATTTAAGGCTAAACTCTCAGGCTCTTCAGAAATGTGATTAAAATTTAAGAGCTCCCCTTTCATAGGTTCCCAAAGTGAGCGATACCACCTCCTGAGGGATGCTGGAACTATCCAGGGGGACAGTAGTAGCCTTGGGTACAATTGGGGGACATTGAATAAAAATAAGGGTTATTCTAATCTAACCGAGGGGGCGCTGGGTAATTTTTTTTTTTTGAAAAGGGGGCAGTAGGCCAAATAAATTTGGGAACTTCCGCTAGCTTATTCTGTCATATATGAATCTGCTTTCTTATCCTTAATCTTTTTTATCAGATAAACAATTTTCTTTGCTTTTGATAGTCTTAATATTTAACTCCTTATGTTATGTGGAGGAAATAGATAGTACCACCTTATTAGTTAGCTTATCAAAATTTTATATTCTGATTTTTTTTTAAATTGAGATTGTTTTAGTTAATGTCCCAGGTGGTAGTGGTGATATTATTTTGGAAGCTGGTATAGTTATTAGCAAAAGGGGGGGGGAACCAAAAAAAGGGGATAGTAGGATTGTTAAAAGAACAAAATGACAATCTCTAGAGGCGCATAGATGGGATGAAACGTACTGTCCATCTCCAGAGAAAGAAGTGTTGGACTCAGAATGCAGAATGAGGCAGTGCAGATAAAAAGGGTGAATGTAGTGGAGTGAGAAGATCATTGGGCTGGCAGTCAGGGAGCCTTTGCCTGTAAACTTACTATATATATTTGGAGAAGTGACCTAAATTCCTGGGCTTCATTTTCTTTGTCTTTTTTACCCAAACAATGAAAATTTGCCTTCTCCACCTACATATCTCCCCCACTCCCCCCAAATATACATTGAGAAACAAAAAAAAACTGTTATAAACATGTATAATCAAGCAAAACAAATTCCTGCCTCAGGCCTATGTGGTTTGGTGCCTTATTCCAAGTCACACAGCCCATCTGTATCAGCAGTGGTCTCTAACCCAGGCCTTCCTGGCTCTGAGGCCAGTTCTTTATGCATTATACAAGGGTACCTCTGGCATAGTAAATTGTATGGGCGAAAAAAACAAGTTTTACTCTTTAGTTATTACCTTTAGGAGAGAATGAAGTAAAAGGATAATTTTTGAATTGGTGGTTATAAGAAATACTAGAGAGGCAGCAGAGGTAGGGCTTCTAGGCAGGAAGACTAGAGTTCAGGTTCTGCCTGATACACTATAGCTGGGTGATTCTGAACCTCTCAGGGCTCCAGGCCACTCTCTGCTATAAATGTAAAGACAAACAACTTTAAAAGACTCCAGAACTCTGATCAATCCATGCAGTGAAGGGTCTAATGCAATTCTAGAGGACAGAGAATGAACCATGTTGGCCCACCTCCTAAGAGGTGCATTATTTTTAGATGCGGTCAGTATGGAAATCTGTTTTGCTGAACTCTGCGTATTTGTTTCAAGGGTTATGTTTTCTTATTTTTTCTTCCCAACAGCGAAGGAGGAAGTATGGGAGGGAGAGAAAATACTTGTTAACTGAAAAAGCAAAATAAAAGTTAAAAAAGAAAAAAAATTCTCTAAAGTTACAAGTTACAGACTTAATTGCTGATAGCTGTTAGGAAATTAAATCTGGACTCTGGGCCCCCTACCAATTATATTTAAGTCCTTTATGTAAATGCTTACCACTTCTCCAAGCAAATTCCTCCATTAATCGTGTCCCCAAAAAATAAACCTCAATTTACATACTGTCACTTCTCTGTCTGGTGGTGAGTAGTATGTTTCATCAAGAGTCTTCTGGAATTGTGATTGTTCATTGTGTTGATCAGAGTTCCCAGGTCTTTCAGAGTTGTTTGTCTTTATAATGTTGTTGTTATGACGTAAATTACTCTTCTGGTTTTGCTCGCTTCATTCTGCATCAATTCATACAAGTCTTCCCAGGTTTCCCTGAAACCATACCCTTCTATCATTGCTTACAATGTGATAGTATTCCATCACATTCATATGCCATAACTTGTTCAGCCCTTCCCCAGTTGATGGGTACCCCCTCAGTTTCCAGTTCTTTGGCACCATGAAAAGAGCTGCTGTAAATATTTTTGTTCATAGGAGTCCTCTTTCTCTGATCTCTTTGGGGTATAGGCCTAGTAAAGTTATTACTAGGTCAAAAGGCATGCATGTTTTAAAAGCTTTTTGGGCATATTTCCAGAATGCTTTCAAAAATGGCTTAGATTAGTTAACAGCTCCACTAGTAGTGCATTAATGGACCTGTCTTTCCCACGTCCCTTCCATCATTTGTCATTTTCCTTTTCTTACCAACTTAGCCAAATTGATTGGTGTGATGTACAAACACAGAATAGTTTTAATTTCTTTAATTATTAGTGATTTAGAGCATTTATTCCTTGAAAAATTTTATTGATGTTTTCTGCGTCTTCTATCACCATAGTATCCCCATGTATCCCTTTGCTTTCTGCTCCCCAAGAGCCATCGCATTTAACAAATAGAATTTGTTTAGAAAAGTCAGTACAACTGATTGATAAATTGAGAAAGTCCAAAAACATGCGCATTGTGTAACTCTTGTGGACCTCTCTCACCTCCTCAGAGGGATAAGTTGGGGGTTCTCACATCTCTTCCTTTGAGTCCCATTTGATCTTTATAATTTTGCTAAATTTACTTTTGATGTTTTGGCGTGTACTTTCCATTTACATTGTTGTAGTTATTGTGTATGTTATTACCTTGGCTTTGCTTACTTTATTTTGCATCAATTCATATAAATATATTCATGCTTCTCTTTATTCTACACGCATCATTTTTAAAAAATTTTTGGGGGGAGCTAGGCAGTGGGGTTAAGTGACTTGCGCAGAGTCACACAGCTTGTAAGTGTCAAGTGTCTGAGGCTAAATTTGAACTCAGGTCCGCCTGACTCCAGGGCTGGGGCTCTATCCACTGTGCCACCTAGCTGCCCCACACATAGCATTTCTTGTAGCACAGTAGTATTCCATTACATTACATTCATGTATCACAATTTGTTTAGCTGTTCCTCAATTGATGGGCATCTTTGTTTCCAGTTCTTAGTTATCCCAAAAAGTGCTGCTATAAATATCTTGGAGTGTGTGGGTACTTTTTTCTTACTGATAACTTCCTTGGGGTATAAGCCCAGTAATAGAATCTCTGGTTGAAATTATATGGACATTTTAATCACTTTATTTGCATAATTCCAAATTGCTTTACAAAATAGTTGTACCATTTCACAGCTCCACCAACACTATTTTAGTGTGTTAATTTCCCATAACCCTTCCAACATTGATTGTTGACATTTTTGTCATTTTTACCAGTTTGTAGTGTGAGGTGAAACCTCAGAGTTGTTTTGATTTGCATTTCTCTTTTCATTAGTGATTTTTTTCTTTTTTTCTTTTTTGGTGAGGCAGTCAGGGCTAAGTGACTTGCCCAGAGTCACACAGCTAGTAAGTGTCATGTGTCTGAGGTCACATTTGAACTCAGGTGCTCCTGACTCCAAGGCTGGAACTCTATCCACTGTGCCACCTAGCTACCCCCTTCATTAGTGATTTGAAGCATATTTTCATGTAGTTTGAATATTTTGCAGTTCTTTTCACAACTGTTTGTTCCTATCTTTTGACTACCTATTGGGGAATAGTTATTAGGCTTTTATATATTTATTAATTACTTATGTATCTTTGATACCAAATGCTCATCAGAGAGAATTGATACAAAGATTTTTTTTTCCCCGTTTAAAATCACTTGCCTTCTTATTCTGGATGCATTTTATCTTTTGTAACTGCCTCTCTCTCTCATTTGGTTAAGAATATATCTCTTACCCATAGCTATGAGAGGTGCATAATCTGTGTCTCTCATAGTTTTTTTATAGTGTGATTGTTAACGGGCAATGAGGTGGCTTAGTAGATAGAGTGTTGGGCCTGGACTGAAATGAACATAAATATTAATAATTAATATTAGCATTAAGGTCTTGTATCCATTTAAAATGTATTGTGAATGTTGTAATATGTAATGTATAATGTTGAAATGTATTGTGTTGTAAATTATTGATCTAAGCCTATTTTCCTTCAGACTTTTTCAATTTTTCCATCAGTTTTTACCAGATAGGGAGTTTTTCCCTATGTAACTTATATTTTCTACTCTATTAAATATTAGGTTGTTGAGATCTATTGTTTCTGAATCTCCCTTATCTAGTCTGTTGCCTTGTTCTGTCTCTGTGTATTTTAGTCAATATCAGCTGATTTTGATGACTGCTGCTGTATGATGTAGTTTGAGATCTGGAATGCTATTTCTCTTTCATCTTACTTTTTTTTCATCATTTCCCTTTTGTTTTTCCAAATGAATTTTATTATTATCAAGGTTTGTAAAGTATCCTGTTGGTGATTCAATTGGTGTAGCATTAAAAGTTTAAATTAATTTTGGTAGTTTGGTCATTTGTATTATATTGGCATACCCTCGCCACAAGCATTGAATATTCCTCCAGCTACATAGGTGGTCCTTTCATTCTTTAGGGAGTATTTTGTACTTGAATCTA